GACGTTGTAACACCGGATTGGCTGAGGATTGGAGTGCTCATCCATGAAGCTACTCGTCTTTTGGCTGGGACTACAGATAGTTGGGAATGGTCGGACGACTCCAAGACTTCTGTTTTTCCTGCGGCTCGTGGCTCGTCTAACCTGCTCAGTGGTCGTAAGTAATTCTACTAAAACACGTTTTCCTCCATATTGACTCAACATTGTAAACACCAGAGTGGGACAACGACTATGACTTGATCAAGCAGAAAAGCCCCTGGAGCTTCCACCTGAACGCCGACACTTGGTTTGTGCTTGGCTATTACCTCGAGCACGGCAGCATCCCTCCTCATAGCCCTCTGGCATTTTCATCACTCATTCCATCCACTCGTCGCCTGAAATTCATTGATATGGACCAGTGGGGCCAAGCCAGTCCTGAGCTCCTCACGTTCGGCCCATCTCAATGGTTTGTAGTGATCCCTAACCTAGGATAGGTTCAGTATCCACATGTCCTTCGTTTTAACAATAAACATATTTGACGACTCTCGAACTGTTCAGAACTAGGGACGGCTCGGAATATGTTCCATCAGAGTCCTCGTCAGTGACAAAGTGCTCGTGAGGATGGCAAATATTTCTCTTACTTCATGCTGGGCAGCTCTGTGGCGCAACAAGGATTGGATGAGCTCAGATAATCAGAATAAATGCCTCACCTCTGACACGCCCCTGGCAAGAGGCCACACCTTTCACTGCAACACCCACCACCTCACATCATCCAGGATTTCCATTCAGCATTACTTGGTCACTTCTACTCTCGCCATGGAAATTCCTGAACTCGAAAACTTGAAAATAACGGGTGAAGTTTCTGTTGAAGTGACCAGCCGCATACCGCGACAGGCATACCTATATATGTATGTGCAATCCCGCCAATTGAGCGGTCTAGATTAACCTTTTTACATACATGTATAGGTTCATGGGACCGACAGGCGCAGGGAAAAGCTCAGTAAGTCGAATATTGTAATCCCTTTTACCCAATATTTCGTAATTTTTGCTTCTCCAAGTTCATCGAGGGGTTTGCTGGTGGATATCAGACACTTTCGATCGCCAAAGACCAGCTTGGAGGATGCACTCAGAATGTGACCGCTTACCGTCTGGTCTTTCGAAAAGCCACGAACCGACCTGTATATTTGGTCGACACACCAGGATTTTCAGACCCAAAAATCTCTGAAATCGAAATCATGGACATGGTTAAACAGTGGTTGAAGGACAATGGGTAAATTACTTGCTTCTCCCAATCAAGCCTCGGAAACTGATTCGAACCCTTGTTAGTTTATCCTATGTAAACAGAATCTTATTTTTGACTCCCATTACAGGAAAGCGACTGGCTGGAAGTAGGCGAAAGACGATCGAGATGTTCAAACAGTTGTTTGGGCCTTATGATGACCTTGATTCGGTGATTTTCGTAACCACTATGTGGGACAACCTTTACAATGAACAAACGCAAACCCGAGCAGATTCTAACTTTTCCCAGTTGGCAGATGAAGTTTTCAAGGTAAGGCTGTCCCATTTACTGCGTATTCCATGCTGGATTGCTTATCTTTGACCTCTAGGAATTATTTGGGGGACATGAAATTTCCATCACCCGGTTCATGAATACCAGAAGCTCTGCACTGGAGGTGGTAGATCAAGGAAACTACTACACCAACGCGTTCATCAAACACAAGACTTCGACATCACCCCACCTTTATCACGACTTACACGAGCGCATCGTCGGAGCTCTTCAGCAGAAAAAAATCATTGAGCTAGACCTAGCTCAGCCCGATGCGCAGGTCAACCTTGAGCTCAAAGCGATCCTCGAGGAGAACCAGAGGGAGAACAACGAGACCTTGACCAAGTTTATAAAGCAGTTTGTGGATTTCGGACGACCGCCGTCAGGTTTTGGCCGTGCGGCTCAGCAGCTCCGAAAGTCGATTGCAGTTAACACTCACCCTGCGAACACCAAGTATAGATTACTCTATTGGCAGTGGGCACATGAGGTGGAGATTCCTGCAGGTTGTGAATTGGGCGAGTCATCATCCCGGAACCTTGCTATTAAAGGTTTGCTGAGCTATTTTTTCGATGCTTCGAAGCATCCTAAAGCCAAGTCGCTCAAGCATGGGGAATAGGTACTAGGATGCTCGATCCGTGTCTTCCTTCTGCGTTCATTCATTTTACACGAGTACTCCGTAGCTGGTAATGGCCATGAAGCCTTCTACTCGTTTTTCATCTTCTCACCATTCCACAATGTTCTTAAAGTTTGCTACCAGGTATCTCCGCGATGCCCGTACCTCTTCCGAACGATTCAACGTTGTGCTTACTATGATGTAACAAGCAATCTCAGTGCTAAGTCGAGAACGAAGTTCCTAGTTCATTAATCATCCTTGATTTGGTGATTCCGAATCAGGCTCGAGCTAGCGCTGTTACGAAACAAGGGCCAATCTAGAAGATTCAATCGAGTAAACGCACTGCTTTTTGGCAATGGGGGGTTTTTGAAGTTAGACTCATTACGCTCGAAGAATCGATTGCAAAGATTCGCTGAATTCAGATCGTGCTCTTTTATACAAAGCGATTGCGAGGGGTTGTGCCCTCAGAACCAGCACTGTGGGCTCACCCTTTTCCCTTTCCACTAAATTGAGGATTCAAAGTACAATCTAGGCGGCTCAATGTCAACAGCAAAGCTTGCCACGACACCCCTCTGGCGCACCCGTCCCGAGTCCTTGTCATACGAAGAACGTATCAAGTTATCCTACGAACGCGCAAAGTCGATTGTGGAGCACTACCGTGAGTGCAGTATTGGAATCCAATGGGAGGCAATTATTCCTAAACTCTAATCCCCAGAATTAATTGCTAAGGAGGTTTACAACCTAACCCCCCGCTACTGGGACTTTCACGCGGACCCCATCCTAAGCTATGGACGGGTCCGTAGGCACCCTCTTGACAATCCACTATAACCTGTGTCTTGGTACCATTGCGAAATACTTACCGACGCGCCCAGATCTCCAGCCTATCGTTGACAAACTCGTGTCGTTTGAGTGGAAGTACGTGGATCGGTTTCAAATTTATGTGTGGTGATTTACGGGATTACTGATGTGGAGCGGATGGTTGGATGTAGTGGCCAGTATTGTCTTACTGAACTAGGACATGGGCTTGATGTTATCAATATGGAGACCCGCGCTACGCTCCTCCCAGACGGGAGCTTTGAGCTGCATACGCCAACGCCATCGGCGGCGAAGTAAGCGTCAAATTTCTAGTTCGCCTTTTATACCCCGAGAGCCCCATTGATTGACTGTCACCAAATAGATACATGCCTCCAACGTCGCCTTCCGGCTACCCATGCGTCGCGATAGTGTTTGCGCGCCTATTCGTCAACGGGGAGGACCAAGGTCCGAAGGTTTTCATAGTCAAACTTCATGATGGGGTGAAAATGGAGCCTGGAATTGTTTCGAAGTGCGCATTGCTTTCTTTTTATTTCCTTTCGAATTCTGACGCTCGTTCTTTCTTAACACCAACATTCCACTCATATGCAGAGTTCTCTCCCCCCGCGGCTCCGCACGTCCCGTAAAACACTGCCTCACATCCTTCAACCACCTCCACCTCCCCGCCTCGTCCCTTCTCGGCTCACTCTCCAAACCCACCGACCTCCGCATCGCATTTTTTGACTCCATCTCGCGCGTGATCAGCGGTACAATCTCAATGGGCGTCTTCGCCGTCTCCGCAATACGGATCGCAGCATACATTGCAGCGAAGTACAGCCTTCGGAGACACGTTATCGACGCATCCTCCTCCAACACCCTCAAACCAAGGTCAAAACCGATTATGTCGTATAGCACGCAATACACCCCCGTGCTTTCAGCAATCGCACAAGCACTCGTCCTGAGGGTGTTTACAGAGCGCTGTACGGCGCTTTTTGTGAGTGCGCAGGGTGAGGAGAGGCATTTCGTTGCGGCCGTGGTGAAGACGCTGACAGTGAGGACGGCGAGTGCTGTGCTTTTGGAGCTGGGGGACCGGTGTGGTGCGCAGGGACTTATGGAGGTGAATCAGTTGGGCGTGTTACATGTGCGTTGTGTTTTATTTTGAGACGTCTGGGTTGTGCTTTTGAGTAGCCTTTAAGATTGACTTTTGTTTTTGATCCTGGTAGGCTGATCTCCGCGGTGCGGCTATTGCAGAAGGCGACATTCTCGTTCTTTCTATCCGTAAGTCCCTTACTTATTTGTTTTCGTTATTTATGGACCTATATTCAACTTCTTACCAAGGCTTCGCTATCGACCTCCTCCGAAACCGGATCCCCATCCCCACATACCAAAACCCCAACACCCTCCTCGCGCAACACGAGCGCTCCCTCATCTCCTCCCTCCGCTCCTCCCTCGCCCATACCACGTCCCACCGCTCCCCATCCATCGACACCTCCATTCTCCCGCTCTGTCAAACCCTCATCGAAGCCATGGGCGCTCGAATGGCATTCGAGAGTGCCATTGGGGTTATCGATGATGATATCCTCAATTTATTCGTTGCTTCTTGGGTTCGTAGGCACGGGGCATGGTACGCGGCGAATTGTGAGGGGCTGGATGGGATGAGCCAAGCTCGCCTGGAGACGGAGGCGGCGAAGAAGTTGGTCCCGAGGATGGGAGCGCTGTTGGAGATGCTAGATGTTGAGCCGTATGTTGCTGCGCCTATTGTGTCGGATGAGGAGTGGGAGGGGTATGTCGGGAGTTTGGAAGGATATGCGGGAGGTGGGACTGAGGGGCATCGATTGATGGTGGGTGGGATAACGAGGTATGTCAATTTGACTGTTTTCAAGTGGTGGATCAACGCGTAATTTGATTGTTGAAATTTTCTTATAGTAAATTATAATATTGATTAGTTGGGGTCTTTTATACCCTTCGAAGATGGCACAAGGCGTAGTTTCTCGTAGTTTAGTATCGATAACCGCCCCTATTTTCTACACAACCATTACGGTCATGGTTTGCAACACCTTAGACATATTCATCGGCCTTATGGTCTAGTCGTATGATTCCTCCTTTGGGTTAACCACTTAATTGGAGGAGGTCCTGGGTTCAATTCCCAGTGAGGCCCTTTTTGATTCCGCGTCATATTTTCTGTGGGCATGAATCTCACTGAGGATTTTAATAATGCTCTTTGCAATTAGCTCATGAACTCTTTTTTAATTGTCATTAAGTGAAATTAAATTACTTTGAATCGCTCAAAAGTGGTATCTTTTATACATTTTTCATTTCATCATCAGCATCGTCAGTAAGTTCCACTCTAACCGCCAATGGCAATATCGATGTCATAGTCGTGCACAACAACCCACATGAACCCCCGAACGTTCCACGACGACGATCTCCCGTTAAGGGTACGGGTCATCAGGTGCATTACACTACTCACTCCGAAGAGAATGAGATAATCAACCGAAGCACCTCGAGTACTAAGTAGTGTCATGTTTCGACGAACATGGGCGGTCCGAAAGAATTTGAGAAGTACGGTATGGATATGATGGGACAGGAATTGATGGGGGATGAATGGGATGATAGGAATAGATGTGGTTTGGAGGTGGGGATAGGAATAGGAATAGGTGAAGTGTGGATAAGATAGGAATAGGAGGGTCGGCTCGGGTGTGCTATGTTTAACTGGGTGATCGTATGTGTGGTGTCGATGATAAGATAGGCTTTGAATTGGAATGCTCAGGCTTGACGCGTTTATATGTGATCTTTAATTGTGATAAAGGTGAGTTCACTTGTAATTACAAGTGTAAGTGTAAGTAAGTAAGCTTAAGGGTGGAGGGCTTGATCATCAACATGTACACTGTAGAGTGATAATGACATCGCATATGAATACCCTGAAAGAGCTTGCGTTTAATGCCAGTGAGTTTGCCTGAACGCGCTGAATGCGCTGAAACCCAAGCCCACTTGGCTCGGGTGATCGAACGGAACGCATTGACGCGTGTTGTGCCACTCTTCACGTCTGAGAAATAAGCTTGAGATATGGGAATGGGTGGGTGGTGAATGAGGCTAAACAGGGACAGGTAGGTTTTAATCGAGTCTAAAGTGGGATGGCTGGGTGTTAATCGAGTCAAAAGAGGAATATCTTTGGCGTTTGCTCCTACGATGGTAAGATAGGATAAGATAGTATGAGAATGAGTGTCAATGAATATGAGTATGGTCCGAGATTAGGTTAGGCTATCTCAGGCTGCGTGATCTGGCTGTACTGCGTCGTTAGCCTATCTTCAGTCCACATTTTTATTCTAGGAATTATCATGAATATCTCATCCAAGCTTCGCTCTGAGTATTAGTGACGTTCTTCGGTCTGATCGGACTAAGGGGTCAGCATGTCATTCGATAAAGTCCAACTCGTGGGCAGACAACATGCTCTATGATATATGATTGTCCATATCCCATCCATGAACGTGCCCTCGTAAAAGCATCCGAAAGATAAAAATGGACTGATGGATTCGACGACTTTACCCGCTTCAGCGATGATTACTTGTGACTTATACTTATCGCTCGTTGATCCTCAAGGATTCCGAGGTGAGGTATTTTATTTTACTTTGTGCAGACATTTGTCCGTGCATTCTGATTCTTAAGCTCGTGTTACTCCAACGTTAACTGTCACTGACAGCGCATGATATGATGCCAGTGGCTTAATGTGCTCATTCAGCCATGCTATTCATCCGAGTCATATCGATGTCTAACCCCACTAGCATAGGAGCAATGCAGTGAGATGAGCCATGAATTGGTTTAGGCACTCATATGATCATGATCATGTCGTGCTGAATGGGGAAGGAAAGGACCTTGCCCCTTCCCTTCCCATTGACAGCACTATTTAGATCCTGGTTCAGGGAAGACTTCGGATAAGTATCTTTCTTGCTTACTTCCTTGACCTGCTTGAGGGATTACTACTCAGCGTCAGCGTCCATCTCTGCTCGTTGTTCCCCACGACGACGACTGAGGAGCATTATTACGCTTGGATTTGATTCCGTTCCTGTTTTCCCCAGATTTCCCACCAGCCCCTTTCTTTACTCAGCTTAGCTTAGCTCAATCACCTCTCTCGTCTCCCACTCTCATCTTACTCACCAGCCACCTCACCAGCTTACCCACCACTCAACACACCTCACATCCCTCTACTAACACTCTCCTGACTCTCTTATCTTACCACCCTACACTCAACACCCCGCCCTTCCAGTGCGTGCATCAACGGCGACAAGCGGGCCTCGCACTTGAACCCCTCTCATCGTGAATCAATAAATGGGTTGTTCTCAATACAACACCACCACCATTAGTACAAGATACGAACACACCCACTCGCGCAGTAACACCAATAATAATAAACGAAGTAATCATGGCGAAAGTAGTAGTAGTAGTACCCAACCAGACGTCTATCATTACCCATGCCAGTCCGACAATGGCGGGTACAACGATGACGACGATACCGTTGATAACGACACCGTCGACGATGACGGCTACTACTACTACTACTGCTCCCCCCAAGTCCTCCCTCACACTCCCACAGGAAACACTTGAATCCATCATAGACAACCTCGCCGCCGACCACGCCTCGCTCCTCGCCTGCAGCCTCGCCGCCTCATGCATGCTCCCCCGCTGCCGCTTCCACATCTTCGCCGACCTCACCCTCGACTGCGCGGGCATCGATGGGTTCATGCGGCTCTTGGAGGCGCCGGGGTGCAGTCTGGGCATGTCGGTGGGGAGGATGACGCTGACGGGGGTGAGGATGCGGGAGGCGATGGGGTGCAAGCGGAGGGGGAGGGATGGGTGTGATGCGCAGGGGCAGGGGCAGGGAAGGAAGGGGGCACAGAGGGAGAAGGCCCAGGGGGATAGGTTATATCGTATGCTCGCGAGTGTGAAAACACTCCGTCTCGTCCAAATCTCGCTGGCGGATATTCAGCCTGGCTTCATGCAGACGCTGCATCAGCTCAAGAGCATCAAAGAGCTCGAGATCAGGGACGTGGCTTGCGATTCCCCCAGCCAGATATTTGACCTTGTTGGATCGTTGCCGGTACTTGAGAAATTGACGGTGGCGAGGTTGTCTTCTGCGAAATTGATGATGCCTATGCCATCTCTCAAGGCCCCCGCTGCTCCCAGTGATACTGGGGATACCACGATCGCAATGCCTCGCCTCACCACCCCCACATCCAAAGTCCTCATCCCACTTCTGGATCTACGCAAATACGCCTTCCAGCACTACGACCCTGGTATGAGCGTGATGGTGCTGGAGTGGCTGATCCAGCAATGCCCGCCTGTGGAGATTGAGGAGATGCGGTTTAGCGTTGATGCGGGGAATGCGGTTATGGGGTTGCTGAAGCGCTATTTTGGGCTTAATGGGGAAAGTGTGAAAGGTTTGTGTGTGTCGTTGCCGCCTTCTAGTTCTGGTGAGTTTTCTTGATTTCTTTTCTTTTCATTGAATGTTGGGGAGATGCTGATGAGTTGGGTATTATAGCACTACGCAGGATTCCAGCTGTTGATATAAGCCCATGTGCAAATTTAGAACGCCTCGAAATCGAAGGGTTGAGGACGAGTCATCCGGTGGTGATACAGACTCACCTGGAAGGATACTTGAAATCGCTCCTCACGCAGCTCTTGCTGCCCCTCGGGACGGGTCAGAACAGGAGCAAAGACGCCGTGTTCGTGTCCAAGATGGTCCCGCTAAAGTCACTCTGCTTCGCTGTCGATATCGACACCCGGATCAGTGCGCATGCTACTGGTCCTGCGAGTGATGCTTTGGTGTCGTTTGGGTGGTGCGGTCTGCCGGCTGTTGTTGAAGCCCTCCTTGAAAAGGCTGGATTGACCACGACGAGGGTGATGCTTAAAGTGGATATGGGAGGACGTGGTGGTGATTTTGTTGGAATTGAGAATGCACTGAGGGGGGGAGTGTGGAAGGTGATGAATGAAATGGGACGTTTGGATGTCGTTGTACAATAAATAGTTTCGTTTTGTGTCTTTTGCTTTCTTGTTACATAAATTGCTTTGTGAATGAAATCAAGTCTTTCTGTCTCACTCTGTCTCTCCCTATCTGACTCTCGTCTCCACATTTCCATGACCTCTCCCGCTCTCTGTCTCATTATTGAAGCAGGATAGGGGCAAACTCAGGGTCGGCGCAAAGTTCCGATATATATATGATCTGATAATAATTCTCTCGGTTTTATCCGGGTTGAACTCAATTTTTTTTGGTGGTCTCCAGTGAATAGCGATGTTGCGATTATTGACAAGAGCTCTTATCCGCACTCCCATCTCCCAATCACCCCGTTCAGTCCTCAGAACAATGGCCACTACTTCTACGCCTGAATATGTACGGTTTTGACTTGCTTTTATGCCCCGATGACTGACTGACCATGATGCCCTGTCACGTAGAACAAGGTCCTGTACAAGTCTCTCGCAGAGATCGACCCAGAAATCAAGAATATCATCGATAAGGAAACATGGAGACAGTTCACTGGGCTCGAGCTCATCGCTTCAGAGGTACAGTCCCTCCCACCTATTCCAACACCTCACCAATACAACACCCTCGCTAACATCAATGTAGAACTTGACCTCGCAGGCAACGATGGAAGCCAACGGCTCCATCCTCACCAACAAGTACTCGGAGGGCCTCCCCAATGCCCGCTATTATGGCGGCAACGAGTACATTGACGAACTGGAGATTTTGTGCCGCAAGCGTGCCCTCCAGGCGTTTAACCTTGATCCGGCCAAGTGGGGCGTCAATGTTCAGCCATATTCTGGATCCGTGAGTTGTTCCCTGCCCCGACGTTGCTTTTTTTAGATGGGTGCTGATGATGTTTTATTTTATTTTTGTTTTGGGATTGTAGACGGCCAAGTATGTATTCTTCAACGGCTCGAGTCAGAGAATGAGCATGTCACTTACCTCATACTCAACCTAGCTTCGCCGCTTTGACCGCCCTCATCCAGCCTAATGACCGCCTCATGGGTCTCGGCCTCCCCGACGGTGGTCATCTCACTCACGGATACTACGTAAGTTTACCTCATCACCCCCTCCCCTCTCCCTCTTATTACTAACAACGCACCCATAGACTGCCAAAAAGAAAATGACCGCCTCCTCCATCT